GAACTCGGGACCTTGCACTTGTGAGGCAGGTGGCGGAACCACTGAGCTAAATTCCTGGTCCCCAAAATTTTAATTTAAAAGACATTTATATACATTTTGAAGTGAACTATTTGAGAAATACATTGCAACATGACAGAATGCTTCATATGCTACTTTTAAGAAATAATAACATAGGTATTTTTGCAAACATAAGTACTGTTGCATTAAATTATGAGAAGACAACCTGTTATGCCTTGTATCTAGATGTACCCCCCAAAGCCTCACATGCTTATAGTTGGGGCTTTTTGGAAGTGGCTGGATCTACCATATATGAATGTGGATTAAAAGAGTTATAACTAAATTAGTCCACTGACTGATTTAGCATTGATCTGGGTGTGGGTAATGGGAAACCCCACACTGCATGTGGGTGGTATCACCCAAAAGGCTTGTAGTGTGGATGGGATAAAAGGGGGAAAGGGAGGTTTGCTGCTTGCTGGTGATGCTTTCTGCCTACCCTGCCATGGACTGTGTCTCCTCTGCAATGCCCCTTTCCTATGCCTTGGAGCCAGCTGACTCTGGACTAAAACCTCTACAAACTGTGAGCTAAAGTAAACCTTTTCTCCTTTAATAATGAGTGGTGGATAATTTGTCTCAGCAACAAGAAAGTAACCAAGATTCACACCATATTCATAAAAAGTAGATCAAAAAGCAAAATATATAAATACCTACTATTAGAGTTAGTAACCGTGTGCATCCAGCTTTTTAACTCTGATTATGTAAAATATCATGATGGGCCAAATGTGCTTGCACACACCTGCAATCCCACAACTTTGGGTAGCTGAGGCAAGAGGATCACAAGTTTGAGCCCAAACTGGGCAACATCATGAGATTCTGTCAAAGAATAAAAAACAAAAATGGCTGGGAATGTAACTCAGTGTTAAGGTCCTTGATTTAATTCCCAGTACCATAAACGGCAACAACTATTATTGCAAGATACCATGATGGGCAATCTGTCTTTAATGAAAATTGATCAAAAACCATAATGAATTGCCACCACATATATAGTTGCCCAAAGCACAAAGATCTTGATAAATTTCATCTTTCATAAACAATGTGCAAAAACGGCATCTGAAGAAGTTTCAACAGTTTTATGTGCATGAACAATGGTATACTAAGCCCTTGGGATGCTTTCAGCATGGCTCAGTTCAAATCTGCAGGCCTCAGAACCAGGGAAGCTAGTGTTGTATCTCTCAGCCATGCTGAAAACCTGAAGACACAATAGTGGTGGGGAGGGGCTGGTATACATTCTAGAGTCCAAATGCTTGAAGTCCAAAGGAATTCTGATGTTCAAGGAAGAAATTTCTGTCCTAGCCCTCAAGAGGGGCCAAGCAGTCTTCTTTATTTGTTCTCTCTAGGGTCCTTGGAAGATTGGATGGTGCTTGCCACATTGAGAGTAGATCTTTTTCATCTAGTTCCCAGACCCACACACTTATCTCCTATGGAAATATCCCCATGGGTACAAGCAAAATAATGTTTTGCCAGGTTCCTACATATTCATTCAGCCTAATGTAGTGCAACGATCCTGCATACAGCTGAAAACACACTGCTCCCATCTTTAGAATTTGGATTTCTCTCCTTTCTATATAGCCTTTTTTCCAACGAGAATTACAGCTTTGGGGATTTCCATTTTCAGGATTTTAACCTCTGAGATTTCAGTCTTCTGAGATAATAATCACACACTGCTGTCATGCAAATTTCTTACCAATAAATCTAGAATAATTGCTGCCACTTACTCATTAGGTCCAATCAGCATAATGTCACCAGTATAATGAACCAGTGTGATATCTTATGGAGAGGAAAGGTGATCAAGAGCCCTACAGGGCTGGCATGTTAATGTATTTGAGGTAGGACAGTGAAAGGGCATTGCTGGCCTTGTCAGCTGAAAGCACTCTTTCTGGTGGATCCTGTGGACAAGTATGAATAGCTGTGGCATTTATCAGATCAATAGCTACACACCACATACCAAGGGATGTGTTGATTTACTCAAACAATGAATCCACATCTGGGATAGCAGATACAATTCAAGTCATAACTTGGTCAAACTTACAATAGCCTACTGTCATTCTCAAGGACTCATGTCTTCTAACAACCAAAATAGGTGAGTTGAGTGGGGATGTTAGAATTACCATGTCTGCATCATTTAATTTCATGGTAACACTAATCTCTACAACCCCTCCAGAAATGTAGTATTGGTTTCCATTTACTATTTTCTAGATAGATGCAGTTTGAGATATGCAGTTAAACACTTTTAAGATATGTAGTAGAAATCTGGTTTTATCCTTCAGAAGAATTTATGGTTGGATCTATGGCTTGGGGATTATTGTGTATGGTAGCTAAGCTACATAAATAGACAGGCTCAGAGTATACCATGTAAAAGGAGTGAGATGCAAAATTCAGGACACAAAGAATACTAAGTAGGAGTGAAAAAAATTTAAACAAAGATATTGAAAAGGCCATGTGATATGAGACAGGGGTACTTTCAAATTTTATGGTATGAAGAATGAGTGGAAATTTAGGAAGCTCAGACAGTGAGAAAAAAAGGAACTCTTCCCAGGAATAGTACAATAGTACTGTAGTAAAGATGTATTAAAAGAAGTATCCAGGGAAGAGAAAGTGGTGGCAGAAGTTTTTTAGTCCATTTTGACTTATGTAACAAAACACTGCAAAGTAGGTGATTTATAAACCTCAGAAATGCATTGCTTATGGTTTTAAAAGCCAGTAAGTCAAAGATCAAGGTAACAGGAAATTCAGTGTTTTTCCTCATATATGAAGACTTCTGGTCCCTATATCCTCATAGTAGGAACAAATAAGCTCCCTCAAGAACCTTCTATAATGGCATTAATCCCATTCATGAGAGCAGAGCTTTATGACAATCATCAACCAAAGGCCAAACCCTTAATATCTTCACTGTTGTTATCAACACATGAATTAGAGGAGGGGGAGGCACAAAAATTCATATCATACCAGGGGGTGGATATATGTGATAAGATTCTCATTGGTTTGGAGAGCATCTCTTCCAACTTTTTCTGTGTGCTTTTCTGGGTATCAGAGGCTGGAAAATTAAAATCTACCTTGAAAGTCAAAGCTTGCATTCCCCTAACAGCACTGTTGCTAGAGATTCAGATACAATTTTGGGATCTCTATTCAGAAACAGTCATGCCAGATTTCAGTTTAGAATCCAGTTGACTTGGGAAAATGATGAGGATTCACAGGGTTGGTATAAAACCAGCTGTGTCAGCATGGATCTAAGACTAAGCCATCATTTTTCTAAACGTCTAGATTGCAGTTGAGGTGGGATATTCCTAAAGCCTACAACAAAGCTGCGGCTTTTTCATTCCCTTAGCTTCTCAATTTCCAACCAGAGTAGTTGCAGGGGGGAGTTATCTGTGATGGGCTCATATTTCAGTCCGACAGTGACCAAGACAAATATCTCTCAGAGTGGTCTTGGGGTATGTAAAAGAGCTACAGCTGCCATGGGGATAGTTCAGCACAGCTACAAGAAAAGCAATTGCTTGATTGAAAGCCCCAGCCTTTCTGAGAAAATAACAGGGCTATAATGGTGACTGTCCCTGCTACCAAGGGCTCTCCTGGTGGGATGGCAGAGGTGATTCCACACTACTGGGGTTTAGGGTTTTGGGGATTTCACCAATGTGCTCTGTGTCCTCCTCAATCTTTGCCCCATGACGGCAGGGCCTTCGACCACTCCTCAGAAAGGTAGCAACAGTGGTCCCGAGGGGTGGTGAGTGAAGGACACAGCAGCTGGCAGGAGTTCAGCTGAAAACCTGTTCAGGCAGCCACAGAGGTATCCAGGAACTTCTGGGGCTAGTTATCCAGGGCCACCTTCAGCACATTGAAGGCTAGGAGTGTGACAGCCGTCAGTGACACCAGAGCCCCACGGGCTGTCAGAGGGAATAGCATCTTCAGGCTCAGGGCTCATTTTTATCACCTCAACTCTACAGACACTTTTAACCTATGCCTTGTTACCTTCAATAATACTCTCATTTTCAGTATGATAGTTTCCATTTCCAAAACACAACAGCTAATTCAGAAAGAGTATAAGATGCTAAATGGCAGGAAGGGATTTAAGCCCAAAGGTTAATGGTATTGAAGAATGTTTTGTGTTTGTTTTGCCTCCAAACATTCTTCATGCATCTCCCTAATCAATGAACACCATATTGTCTCCCCTGAGGTTAAATATATCCCTTACTGATTCATTATAGAGTCTGAAGATTATAATATGGTACTCCATGGGAGTTATCATTTCATTTGTTAAAATAGAAGAAAATATCTTAAAGATGATTTACATCAAATAAGGTACACTAGGTGACAAATAATAACTGACACAAGATATTAGAGGCCAAACAAGACTTCATTGAAGATTTTGGTGGAGATACTCAGTGAATTAAAGTAATAGTTGAAACAGCCAGGTATTTTAAAAAAATGACAAATTGAAGAGAGACCAACTTTTGAGGCTTGTAGAGCTTATTTAGAGCTGGACAGAAAAGATTACTCAATACTAAATGTTGACATCTCTATCTCTTCTCTTCAAAGTTTCCAACCTATTACTACAGATTGTCCGACATGCATAGATATTTGACCTCTAGGTCAATCACAAAGTCAAGTAGTGAAGTATGGGCCTCACTTGTTCATTTTCCCACAGGTGGGGTAGGGTGGTGGAGTCTCTGTCCATGAAGAGAAACAAAAGTAACTAGGCAGATAAAGTAACTGTAACCATTCTTTGGCTCCTGCTTGTATGTCCACATACAGGAGCACAGGCACTTCTCACACAAATGTATAATGGAGAAGGACAGAATAATTTATAACTGAATATGTTGTAAGATAATTCAATATGCATATAATTAAAATAGGGTCCCAAATGCCTTCTGGCAGTTTCAAGCTTTAATAATGATAAACTTATGATAGAAGATATAATTTATAAAGGTCATTTGTCATTTGCACATTTAACTATTTTAATTTCTCTTCCCCTAAATATGAGGAGTGATTGAAAAATAATGTGAATTTTAAATTTAAAAATAACTAAAATTCAATCTTTGACTACTCTAGGGTTGTGCACATGTAAGGACACAAACAAATACAATCATACTAGGAAGGAAGGAACATATCATACATTACCTAAAAAATGTATATACAGGTGTCCCCCAAATTGGAGTATAATCCTAACAAATTTAACTCTTACCAATGCAGAAGGAAAAATGTGTCTTCTTTACTGGCCTGGCACATTTGGAGTTGATTCAGGACATCAAGACAGCGAAGACAGCATGACTGAAGACATCCACCAAAAGGTTTCCAGAGGTGCTTCAGAAAGTGGCAAGAATGGTGGGATAAATGTATTCGAAGTCAGGGAGATTATTTTGAGGGGAATTAACAGCAATGCGTCTTTCACTATAATAATTTTTAAAAATTTATCTATTCACAGTATTTTTGATGACACCACGTATGTTTGTAAGTTGTCAATAATACGCTTTAAAAATTTGCTTTTCCTTTTGTTCCTTGGATGGGAGATGACAAAGTATGACAAACATAAATTAAAATTTATGTTTGAAAGTGCCAAGAATTAAACAAGTTACATGATAAATGCATAATTAAATGTACAAATGAAATTTTACAAAATAATTAGTAAGACATGACTTAAGTCATTGGTAAGACAAATTTGTTAGGATTGTACTCCAATTTTGGGGACACCTGTATATATACATTTTTAAGATAATTTATGATATGTTCCTTCCTTCCTAGTATGACTGTATTTGTTTGTGACCTTACATGTGCACAACCTTAGAGAAGTCAAAGATTGAATTTTAGTTGTTTTTTTGTTTCACCTATGCAGTTACATTTCCTTTGCTCACTAAATTAATTTTCATGCCAAGTGTGTGCTGATAAGTATATCACAGGGCAACATGGGAGAAAGTCTTTCTTCATTGTTTGTAGAAACTGATTGAGAGAGAATATATCAAAGTATTAATAAAGCATATTTTGAGGAAAATGAGTGTGGGTGAATGCACATGAGATAGGGCATTATAATCTGTACTTCTGAGAGTCTATATTTTTAAACATTTTTTTGCATCATGTATTTGTGGATATTGAATGTGAGTAGTAATAAAGTTGAATGAATGCAGTTCTGGACTAGGTGGTAAGATTATGAGCTGTGTTCAAGCTAAAATAAATAAAACATAGAGAAGCTCTCTCCATGGAATTTGCATTGGCTTTCTTTTCTTTGAGGAGCTGAAAAGAGTCTGTTTACTTGTGTGAGCATTTCCTCCCCTGAAATGTCTGCCTTGGAGCAGAACTAAATGTGATTGGCTGCAACTGGCACCCAGGCACCAAGGAAAAAGCTGGGTCTTGCATGGACAAAAGCAGAGTGTCTTTGTTTTCGTGGTTGAAGTTTTGGAACTGGTCTGGCATCTTCAGTGATCAAGTGTTTTATTTGATTTCCTGGGGGGTAGTTTTTGGATGTTAAAAGTTTCCTGGTGGCCTCATAAATTATTTCCATTCATTTGCAGCAAGAAATGTGAATGATTCGGTTTCTAGTTGGTAAAATAGTAGGAAAAAAGAGTACACAAAATATAGGAAAATATAGATATTAAAAACCAAAAATGTAGATATCAAAAACCAAAAGAGGTACTTCAGATGTCTCCCAGATGCTGTGTTCACTTGACTATTCTGCCTCCTTATATTTTCCCTGTCTTCCTTTTTTGCCTTAGTTTGGAAAATCCAAGATGAAAATTAAGGCATCCAATAGCCATCTTAGACTCATCCTCCATGTGTAACTTCAGCATTTCCACAGTGGGAAAGACCTGGCTGCAGCCCATGCATTTCAGGGTACCTTCCAGGTCCACCAGCTCTTTAGGAGTCCGGCTGCTACACCTTGCTTCCTGAGCCAGAGGCCTTGGAGGCCTCTCCCCTTTCCCCTTGGCCTTCACTCTCCCAGGTATCCTCACGATCACTTAGGATGTCCCTTCTATAAGGAAGGCTGAGTTTTCGAAGGATCTTCTCAGGAATGGTAATGCTGGCTGTTTTTATCCTCTCTTGGGGAGGGGCTCTAATTCTTTTGCATCCTCTAAGAGAGCCACACCCCTTTTTTGGGGGACACGGATGTAGTAAAGGTTCATGACCTTTTTCTTTTCAGAAGATTCTGAGGACCATGATGGGGTGCTGACCGAGGAGGAAGTTGAAGGGGAGTGTGAATTAAAAGAGAAATTCTTTATCTCCATCATGCCTTGATATAGAGACATCTAAGAGGATCCAAGACCTGGAACATATTGAGGTAATTGATTTAAAAGTAAAGTGATAAGCTGGTCAGCAGAATACCTCTAGGAGTGCTTGTGTGTGCTTGTATTCTGTGTGTGGTATGTGTTATGTAAAGTGTGATGGCATGGCTATGACGAACATGAGTTGTGGTATGTCCTGGAGAAAGATTATCTCTATCTCTATCTCCATCTCCATCTATATCTCTATACCCATATATATTCTGGCATATATATGCTGATTGTTTCTGGTACTGATAAAAGTGAATAGTAAAGAATGTAAGTATGTGCATGTGGAAGTGTATTATGTGGAATGATAGTGCCTGTCGACCATTGTGTGATTGTTTTTTAGATGGTGAGACAGTAAGTTGTGTGTGCTAGAGGTACCCACACGTGCTATAGGAAGTGTTTCTGACCTCAGAACATGCGGCTCCATGAAGGGCTGAAAGCATGGTAAAAGAAATGATTCGGAGAGAAAATATTCATATTAAAGGGCACAGGAGTGTTCTCATGTTTTTGTAGCATGTGGAGTTAAAACAGGTTATCCATGTGAGGTGACCTGTAGTTCTTTACAGGATTCAGGTGCAAAGTGGTGGATTAAGAAGGGCTGTATACAGCAAAGAGGGTATAAGGATGTCCTATATAGTGCTAATAGGGCATATGACATAAAACAAGTGAGGAAGGAAAGAAGTAATGGGCCTATACTTAGTATAAAGCAGTGTGATATGTGAGTGCCTAAGGTTGATTTTATGCTGCTCTGAGCAGGTGGTGTGGATCACTTTCCCCTACACATCTCTGCAGGATCAACTGCCTCACCCACAACTACCTCAGTGTTCCCAGCAAAATTTATGCTGTAGAGCTTTGCACTGTTCTTGAAGGCATGTTTCCTATGTGTCCCTCCCCAGTGTAGTTGAAGTCCCTTCACCCTGGGGCCCTTTGCTGTATGTGAAGGAAAAGTGAATTGAGTAGGACAAACTTGGACAAGCAGCTCTGGGGTGCCTATCGTCCAAGTTCAGGTCACATTCAGATCTCCCTGCCTTCATGTGTTGCAGCAACTTGCAGGCTTGCTGAAGAGACACAAAGGCAAAGCTCTGTGTCTGTGGAATTCTCTCCTCCCTGACTGGAGGCTAGGACATTCCTCGGTGTCTCAGCAGCATCTTCTGGAGACTTCCACAAGTCTTGAGAGTAAAATAAGAGCAGAAACAACAGAAACACTGATTCATAGGATAAACTGGAGTCTGTGTAGTTCTAAAACAGATATTTGATTAGATTATTTTGATTTAGCCATAGTTATCACCCATGGGAATTCCTTCATGCAAAACAAAATTAAATATGTTATTAAAATTGTGTGAGTGTGGTGGATGTCACTGGAATTAGTATCATGTATTTTTGGGGATGTATGCAGAATATTGGAAACTGATCCATGCCTAAAATAGGAGTAAAATAGGGGATTTGTTTCAGTTCTGATTCATTCTGCTGATTCCTCTTCAGGTCCACTTCTTCTCCACCCTGCTACTTTGGGAATGAGTTCCTCTGCAAGAGAGGGGCACAGTAGTGGAGACTGTACAGCTGAGATAGCTCATTTCATTCTGTTCACCTCCTTCCCTTCTGCTCCCCAAACTCCTTCTTCAGCACGCTCTCACTGGAATACTTACTATACTTTACTTACTAAAACTGTGATCTCTGCTTTGGGTGGGAACTACTGCATTTCAGTTCTGTGTGCTTCGGCAAGGATCTTGCCCTCAAAGTTCCTCATGCCACCCACACACACACAAACTTGGAAAGATATTTTGTATTACTTGCTGTCCCGTATATTTCCCACACTTTCATTCTTTGCATTTTGCATCCTAGAGTTTCATACCCTCAAATGAAAAGTTTTGCTAAACTTTTAAGTGTGAAGCAATTCAATTTTAATGACCTTATTATGTCATGCTTCTTGTTCAGAATCTGAACCAAGCTCACTGCCTAGTATTAAACTATTTAAGATTCTCAGGATCTCTCATGAATGTGTCTGGTGTAGATATCATGCACACATTACAGTCAAGTAGTGTGTGTTGATTGCTGTGTGTGTGTTGTGTATGAATTCATAACATGTTAATTAAAATTCAGTTAGGGTTTAAGCAGTGATTGATTTGGTGGGTACAAATGTGACTACGAGAGGAGCTTATTTGAGTGGAAAGAAGTGTGATTCACACCTACGTGTGTGTAGATTGAATGTCGCATGATTAAGGACTTGTGTGTTCACTGTTTTTTTAAGTATGTAATGAAATTAATGAAAAATATTCTCTTTAAGATTAGAGCAATTAGTGTATTTGTGACATCTCAGCAAATAAAGGACATGAGGATGCAAAAATCAAAATATATATGAACAAAGATCATATGAGCTTTGAAAATTGACCAGATACAAAGAGTTATAGTTAAATATCACATAGTTTCCTTTCTGTGAGAAACTCAAAGTATAAGTTATTTAAAGAGCAAAATAAAAAATGATAGGAAACATGAAAGTAGGGGATCTAGGGTTGGTAGGAGAGAGGAAAGAAGAGGATGTAAAAAGAATTCAAATGCAATATATGTATGTACAAACTCCCTACAATGTACGTATTCAATTTGCATTATAAACAAATATGAATAAAATTTTTTTTAAAAAGAAAAAGTACAGAACTATGTTAAGTTCTAAATTATATGAGGGTATAAAGTAGAGGGTATAAGATTAAGAGACTCATAATCAAGTAGAAAATAAAAAGAAATACTGAGTTCTGATTTGGTTAATAAAGAAATAAAGAACCTACTAATTTTACCAAGTAAAACTATGTTAGTGTAGCAAAACGTAGGCAAGAAAATATTCAGAATATCATCTTACTCTCTCCATAATGAGAACAATCCTAATGTTCAACAAAGTATAATCAGTGAATCAATTATTTTTATTCATGCAATAAATATATACAGTATTGAGAATGAACAAACTGCAGTCATCTGCAACATGAGTAACATTCACACATATAAACATGAGCTAAAAGGAGCCAAACATAAATATATAATTTGCTCTTCTATTCATACAAAGTTTACAAAACTGACAAATAAAAAACTCAAAAATAATGAATGTAGTGTCATCAAGGGAGTCAAAGTAGTTATCACTGTTTGCATGGTAGAAATAAAGACTGAATTTAAGGAATTCATATGCATCTGGAATATTATAAGGAAATGAGAGATGAGGATAGGAACTGCAGATGGGCCTGTGTAGCAATACATGTGAGAATACTGGCTATGAAAATATATGGATATGGTGTGTTCTTGGATTGGGTATCTCTGCACTGCAATTCAAGGGCACTTCTTGTGAGGATCCTATTATTTTGGGCTCGATAGTCTACCGTACTCATCACTGACCCAAACTGACCTACCATCCCTATGTGTCTCTATCTCACCCTCTTCTCCTCTTCTCCTCAATAACTCTCCCACCGATTCCTGAGCAGAACTCAGTATTCTACTGATTTTGAAGTTCTCTCTTGCATTTCCCCTTTGGTATTTGTTGCTCCCACTGCTGCTTATGTAAAACTATGTGGAGGAGCTTTTTCCATTTCTTTCTGTGCAGCCTTGAATCAGCTGATTGGCAGAACCGCTCAACTCAATCCTGGGATATACTTAGACCCTAGCTTACTTTCTGTACCTTATTTAATCATTACTTCATGCCTGCACCAAAGAATTTGTCTTCGCAAAAGAAGTGATTTGAAGAAATATTGCTCTCTTCCTGGTCTTGAGTTGGGGTCAGTACATTGTTTCTGCTCTGCAGATCATCTTATAAATCTAACTCTTCTGAAAAATAAAAGTAAGAGACATGGTTCTTGTTTGGTATTTATAGGTATTTATCTCTCCTTAAGCAAGTAATTTGAGCCTGCTATTTGACATGTTCAGTGAACATATGTAAATAGTTAAATAGTATGGTTCCTCTTACTAAAATTTTTAAATGTAGAGTAATATTGGTTCTGTCAGATCACTCTATTTGCTGACTTCCAGCTTTCAGCTTGTACAAACTACTCTGCTATACTTAACTAAGCTGCTTTGTAGTTAGCTATGATCCTGCGATTATGTTTCCTACAAAGAAAAGTGAGTAGCAGTGACATGTACCACTTCTATGACCACACACCTCTGCATCTCTCCGTGAACTTTCCTTTTCCAGTGGAATGGGATGCTAATAACCCTAGGTCTCCTTTAATGCTCTGTGTCAATGATGACCTTTTTTCTTTCATCTCAGCCCATGAATTTTCCTATTGACAGCATATACCGAGTTGATAGTTTTGGAAGCTGTCATCTCATCACATACCAGTCACTGTGACTTGGTCTGTTCCAATGAAGCCAGGTTGTAATGTATTATTGAGAGTCAATCTGATTTGGTAAGTAGTCAGGGGACAATTATGTTTGATGATAACATTTATCTTCTTCTGGCCAATTTTGTTTTGTTTTTTGATGTGTGGGTATGGAGTACATGTATGAACATTGGATATTTTGGAATTTATACTCAAAAACATCTTTGAATATGTACTCATTGTATTGAAGAACTGCAGCTCCCTTCACTGTCTAGGCCTCTTCATACAAGGGACCATGGGAAAATACATAAGCATTAAACTTTGTTGTTAAGTATCAAACTATTCTCAGAAAAATGAGCTACTCTTTAGAATGTTAGGCTTGGCTCCAATCTGCCCGCTCCCACCACTGAGCAATGGTCTTGGTTCATAAGAGTTGTTTGCTCTTAATATCCAAGGGAATCACAACTGTTTAATTTCCAATTTTTCCATAGAGAGCCAAATCTCATCTCCCTTGTTCACCATTCATGGTTAAATACTGATTATGTTTGTGTTAGCTTGAGGTTGTATATTGTGTATATATATGTGTGTGTGTGTGTGTGTGTGTGTGTGTGTGTCCTGTTTACTCTAATATTTCAAATAGGAGCTCTGTGTGAACATGTTCATAGTCTGAAAAAAAAGTAGATTTAACTTTTCACAAAATAAATTCTTTATGACCTTGACCTATTCCTGCATACATCATTGTTTTAAGATTTTCTAAAAAATATTTTCTTTACCAGTATGACCCACAGTGTCTTTTTCACCAAAAGTAAAAAAGAAAAAGTTATCTTAACCCCCAGCAACCCGGAAGGAAGCTCCAACACCGCCATCCCAAGCTCCTAGGGCAGAGAAGCTGAGCCATTCCCAGCACGTGGAAGGAAGCTCCCTGGCTGCCATACCAAGCTCCTAGGGCAGAGAAGCTGAACTGGTCACAGCACCTGGAAGGACACTCCCCCTCTGCCATCCCAAGCTCCTAGGGCATAGAAGATTAGCCTGTACCAGCACATGAAAGGAAGCTCCCCCGCTGCCATTCCAAGCTCCTAGGGCAGAGAAGCTGTGCCGGTCCCAGCACCTGGAAGGAAGCTCCCCAGCCACGAACCCAAGCTCTTAGGGCATAGAAGCTGAGCTGGTCCCAATAGAGGGCAGGAAGCTCCACCACCACCATCCCAAGCTCCTAGGGCACAAAAGTTGAGCCCATCCTAGCACTCGGAAAGAAGCTCCCTGGCTGCAATCCCAAGCTCCTAGGGCAGAGAAGCTGAGCCGGTCTCAGCAACTGGAAGGAAGCTCTCCCACCACCATCCCGAGCTCCTAGGGCAGAGAAGCTTGGGAAGGCAGCAGGGGAACTTCCTTCCGGGTGCTGGAACCGGCTCATTTTCTCTGCCCTAGGAGCTTAGGATGGTGCCTGCGGAGCTTCCTTCTGGGTGCTGGGAGGGGCTCTGCTTCTCTGCTGTAGGTGCTTGGGTTGGTGATGGGGGAGCTTCCTTCTGTGTGTTGGGACCGGCTCAGCATGTCTTCCCTAGAAGCTTGGGATGGAGGCCAGGGAGCCAGTCCCAGCACCCGGAAGGAAGATCCCCCACAGCCATCCCAAGCTCCTAGGCCAGAGAAACTGAGCCAGTCCCAGCACCAGGGAGGAAGCACCTCAGCTGCCATCTGAAGCGCCTAGGGAAGACAAGCTAAGCTGGTCCTGGCACCCAGAAAGAAGTTCCCCCGCTGCCATCCCAAGCTCCTAGGGCAGAGAAACTGAGCTAGTTCCACCACCCAGAAGGAAGGTGCCCTGCCACCCTTCCAAGCTCTTAGGGCAGAGAAGCTGAGCTGGTCCCAAAGGAAGCCCCCCTGCTGCCATCCCAGGCTCCTAGGGCAGAGAAGCTGAGCAGGTCCCAGCACCAAGAAGGAAGCTCCCCTGCCACCATCCCAAGCTCCTAGGGCAGAGAAGCTGAGCTGGTTGCAGCACCCAGAAGGAAGCTCCACCACTGCCATCCCAAGATCCTAGGGCATAGATGCTTAGCCGGTCCCAGCACATGGAAGGAAGCTCCCCCCCACCCATCCCAAGCTCCTAGGGCAGAGAAGCTGAGCCAGTCCCAGCACCCAGAAGGAAGCTCCTTTGCCACCATCCCAAGCTCCTAGGACAGAGAAGCTGAGACACTACCAGCACCAGGAAGAAAACTCTTCTGCTGCCATCCCAGTCTACTAGGGCAGAGAAGTTGAACCGGTCCCCACACACGGAAGGTAGCACCACCAACACCATCCCAAGCTCCTAGGGCAGAGAAGCTGAGCCGGTCCCAGAACCCGAAAAGAAGCTTGCCCACCACCATCACAAGTTCCTAGGGCAGAAAAGCTGAGCTGGTCCCATCACCCAGAAGGAAGCTCCTTTGCCACCATCCCAAGCTTCTAGAGCATAGAACCAGAGCCAGTCCCAGCACTTGGAAGGAAGCTCCCCCACTGCCATCCAAAGCTACTAGGGCAGAGAAGCTAAGCAGGTCCCAACACTCGGTAGGAAGCTCCCCGACTGCCATCCCACACTCCGTGGGCAGAAAAGCTGAGCCTGTCCCAGGACATGGAAGGAAGCTCCCATGCCACCATCCCAAGATCCCAGGGCAGAGAAACTGAGCCAGTCCCAGCACCCAGAAGGAAATTCCACCACCACCATCCCAAACTCCTAGGGCATAGAAGCTGAGCCAGTCCTAGCACATGGAAGGAAGCTCCCTCACCACCATTCCAAGCTCCTAGAACAGAGAATCTGAGCCAGTCCCGGCACCCAAAAATAAGCCCCCCCAATGCCATCACAAGATCCTAGGGGAGAGAAACTGAGCCAGTCCCAGCACCCAGAAGAAAGCACCTTTGCCGCCATCTCAAGCTCCTAGGAGAGAGAAGCTGAGACACTCCCAGCACCAGGAAAGAAACTGCCCCACAGCCATCCCAAGCTCCTAGGGCAGAGAAGCTGAGCCAGTCTCAGCACCTGGAAAGAAGATCCCACGCCACCATCCCACACTCCTAGGGTAGAGATGCTGAGCCAGTCTCAGCACCTGGAAGGAATCTCCCTGAAGCCATCCCAAGCTCCTAGAACAGAGAAGCTGTGCTGGTCCCAGCACCTGGAAGGAAGCTCCCCCGGGGCCATCCCAAGCTCTGAGGGCATAGAAGCTGAGCCTGTCCCAGCACGTGGAATGATGCTCCTCTGCCAAAATCCCAAGCTCCTAAGGCAGAGAACATGAGCTGGTCCCAGCACCTGGAATTAAATGCCACTGCTGCCTTCTGAACCTTCTAGGCCATAGAAGCTGAGCCGGTCCCAGCATGCTGAAGAAAGCTCCTCAACCCCTTCATCCCAAGCTCCTAGGGCAGAGAAGCTGAGCCAGTCCCAGCACCCATAAATAAGCTCCCCCAACACCATCACAAGCTCCTAGGGAAGAGAAACTGAGCCAGTCACAGCACCCAGAAGAAAGCACCTTCACTGCCATTCCAAGCTTCTAGGACAGAGAAGCGGAGACACTCCTAGAACCAGGAAGAAAACTCTTCTGCTGCTACCCCCATCTACTAGGGCAGAGAAGTTGAGCCGGTCTCAACACACAGAAGGTAGCACCCCCAATGCCATCCCAAGGTCCTAGGGCAGAGAAGCTGAGCTGGTCCCATCACCCAGAAGGAAGTTCCTTGGCCACCATCCCAAGCTTCTAGGGCAGAAAAGCTGAGCTGGTCCCAGCATGCAGAAGGGAGCTTCCCCACTGCCATCCCAAGCTCCTAGGGCAGAGAAGCTAAGCACGTCCCAGCACCTGGTAGGAAGTTCCCCCACCGCCATCCCACACTCCTTGGGCAGAAAAGCTGAGCTTGTCCCAGCATGTGGAAGGAAGCTCCCCTGCCGCCATCCCAAGATCCCAGGGCAGAGAAGCTGAGCTGGTCCCAGCACCCGGAAAGAAATTCCACCACCACCATCCCAAGCTCATAGGGCATAGAAGCTGAGCCAGTCCCAGCACGTGGAAGGAAGTTCACCTGCCTCCATCCCAAATTCCAAGGGAAAAGTAGCTGAGCCCATCCCAGCACACAGATGTAAGCTTCCCCATTGCCATTCCAAGATCCGAGGGCAGGGAACCTGAGCCGGTCCCAGCAACAGGAAGGAAATTTCACCGCCGCCATCCCAAGCTCCTAGGTGTAGAAGCTGAGCTATTCCCAGCACGTAGAATGAAGCTCCTTCGCTGCCATCCAAAGCTCCAAGGACAGAGAAGTGGAGGCACGTCCAGCACCAGGAAAGAAACTCCCCCATCGGGATCCCAAGCTCCTAGGGCAGAGAAGCTGATCTGGCCTCAGCACCCAGAAGGAAGCTCCCCCAATGCCATCACTAGCTCATAGGGCAGAGAGGCTCATCCGGTCCCAGCACAAGGAAGGAAGTTCCTTCACCGCCATCCCAAGCTCCTAGGGCAAAGAAACTGATCCAGTCCCAGCACATGGAAGGATGTTCCTCCGCAGCCATTCCAAGCTCCAAGGGCA